TGTTCTTTTATACTATTATAATCAGTTTTATACTGAGTTTATCAATATTGAAAGTGTTGCTAATGATACCGTATATTAGTGACATTGAGAAATTGTCACTGATTTGGGTAGGTATCAATATATTATGCAAAATGCAGGCATTATAAATGTTTTATATTTATAATCTTTCTTATTCAATGCTTTATTTTCCATACTGATAAATAATTACTTCTATAGCCCATGAATTATGCTTGCTATTAAATTCAGTGTTGTGGAACAGTACTGCTGCTTTCACCATGAAAGTAATGCAAATGCTACTGAAGATCTTTTAACAATGTACATAGAGCAGTGATGCAGTTCCTGATCTCGGTGTAGCTATTGAAATACATTGAGAATTATTTAATTTGAAACATTTTAAAAGTAATTTTTTTCTGTTGCAATGACCTGTTTTTGAGGTAAAATTAATGATTTAAATTTAGTGTATGCAGCTTTTTCTTCAACATAAAGTAGATGATAAAACATTTTAAATATACAAATTTTGTCAAATCTGAATTTTATTTTACTAATAAGTATTTTAAAAGAAAAATGAGTACAAACAGAATATCAATTCATGGTGATTAAAACCCTGTCACATCATATTATAATTCAACTTTTTCACTGTGGAGGAAACCATTTTTGCTGCAATGAGAAAAGCAACTAAAATAAGCACTGAAGATTTAACCTCAAACCAGTTGAGACTGCTGCGAGGGTGATCCTTGCAGCAGTCTCACTGCGCACAGTGCATCAAGAAAACAAGTTTAGCAATGTTCTCAATGGCATTACTCAGCAGTACTTAGTTTACTAACAACTCATTAAGCTCAAAAGTACAATTTGGTCTCTGAACCAAAAAAAGTTGACAACTCCGATATAATATGCATTATTTATAAGGTTGATAAAAACAGAAAATATAGAAGTGAGACATTATATTTATTGATTAAATATTATTTTATCAAAATATAAAGTAATTATATAAGTAATATATGATATATTTTAGAATAAAAAACAATTCAAGATTATATATAATGAGCTACCTCCAATTGGTCTATTTACAGTATACGAAACATATGGTATATCTGAATCTGAACTAATAGATGGTCGAGGAGAAGAACTTCTTAAGACTTGATTAGAATCTGGGATATTATTTGAGTTATTCCTTTGTGAACTATTTGCAGACTGATGACTATGTTCCGATCCCATTTTCTGAAATAAAAGACAAATTTGTTATCAATGAAAAAAAATATGACTCATAATGTTACATCTCTATTTACACGAGTAGCATGGCTCTATCAACAACAAATTATACTCTAAGATTCTGTAGCTACTCTACCTCTAAAGTTCTACAGCTATTTGCATGAATATTTTCATCACATTAAAATTAACAAAAATGGATTACTGATTAAACTACAGATATGAATTTAAAAGTAACTAATTAAAATATTTATTATTAATAAATGATTTAAATTTGCTTATTTAACACTGATTAATATTCAAAAATTTTGATCATTATGAACTTGGTTAATTGTACAAGACAGAATACCAACAATCAGAATATAATCACAAAATAATAGCTTGGATGGAGAAGCAGGGAAAAAGATTTGTAAATTAACAATGGATTTAAATATTACTTTACTTATCCATGTTACGTTTATAATGTTTAATAAAAATTTTGGTTTCTCTAAAGGGAATAATCTGTGCATTACTAANCATGTGGTTTAAAAAATTAATATTATATCTATTTTTTTTTTGAATTGATATTATGCTCTTTTTACTACAATTATTATTAATTAATTATCTGAGCACTATCGAGATTTATTCACACACACAATATCATTCGGATCCGTGATGGATACCTCGAAAGGTCTTCTTGAACTTGTAAGCCCTAATCTTTCCACCAACTGCGACGTCACTGCTGCAGACGATAGAATTGCATCATTCATTGTGTTAAAAGTATGTTTGGTATAGAGGAGATCGCGGTTAACTTTTTGGTACAGGGGCCAGTTATCCTCTGGCCTTGTACTAAGTTGGTTCATTACTTTTCATATTTAAATTTTCCTCATCTTTTCAGTGTCATTGATTTTCTATAGAAAGTCCAAGTCACACATGTAATATGACCGTTATGATGCATAGTAAACACTATAGACATAAGACAACTTTTTGGGCTGTAATTTTCAAATTGTAGTGCTATATATTAACACTGTTGTCCGTCTGTCCTTAATCTCGAATCGTAACTGCGTAGATGAAAATCGAAATAAGATAAGGAAGCTTAAGGGTTTCAGGTTCCGAGTAAATATATAGGAACTGCTTGTTTCGACCAGAAATTATGTGATTTTAATTTAAAATTTTAACCTTACTAAATAGAGCGATAAATTTGTCTTAAAATCGATCCTTACGATAAACTGAGATCAGTAACTTATCACTCGACACTGTAAGGTGTACTATATTCACATGATCTCGCGTTTTCTGTGATAAAAATGTCACGTCAAAAATAACTTCATGTTAAAGGAAAAGTAATTACAGTTTCAGATTCAGCGTCAAAAGTTATATTTATTTAATTTGAAATAAACAGTAGAGCATCAGTATCTACAGTAGAGAGATTTATTTACAGTAGAGCATCAATTATCCGTCCTCCGATCAATCGTCACCTCGGTAAACTGACCGCGTTCTAGTTGGCAAATTCAAATGTCCGCTAGTGATGCGGCGCTAAAATATTTGGATATTTCTTGGCTGCTTTAATGTTATTTTTGTTAAATTTTTGGTATTTTTGCTGGCAACATGGCTCGACCATGAAAGGGATGCTAGTACTAGGCTTAATTTTCTAATTATGAGTGGTTGTTTGTTTTGTGAGCAATAAAATAATTTAAAAATAATTTTTAACGATACAATAGCCACGATTATTATTTAAAAAAAAATTTTGTTAGGCTTANCCACTTTCCTGTAAGCCTACACGTTTGACAATGGCGTTTGAAATGTCAGTGGAATCATGCTCAACGTTCCAAATGCCATTGTCAAACTTCTAGGCTTATAGGAAGGCAGTGCTGAATGTCCAACGTACATGTTTTCTCGTTGAAAACGTCAGCTGCAACATCTCTATTAATTCAATTTTTGTGGGAATTTTTGGGGCCCAGGGCTTAAGCCCTATTAGTTTCTACGTAGCTCTGCCTCTGGATATAGTAACCAGAGTTAAAACGGTGTTGTAACATGCTGCTTCTTAAATAAGCTTTGATTAATTTTAGTTTTGAAAAACTTCTTTGTCGTCGCATGTAAAGTTAAAATAATGAGGCATGCTGCAATAATGTTAGAGAATCTATTTGAGGCTGCAATGTGAAATAAAAGTAATTCAGCAACTGCACTTATAGAAGTAATTTCTTTTACCCAAAAACACATTTTAAATTGAAGCAGTTGAGGTCCAAAACTAGGCGAATATGCTGATTGTAACAATTGATTGTTTCAGAATATTTTTATCAGATGACACAACAAGATATGCAGGAGAAAAGCACTTGAAAAGTGTACATAATTGTCGAACACATTCAAATCTAATAGTTAATTGATTAATTATTACATCCACAAATTTTTTACAAATGTTTTTACAAGTTTTTATTTTGCCCTTTATAACTTGGTGCCATCATGAGTTGTGTGCCTGGAGCAGTTTGCTCCAACTGCTCCATGGTAGCTATGCCTCTGACAAAAATAATACTTCATACAGTAAAGCCAACTTAGGGGTTTTCCCTAAATTTAGGAGAATCAGAAATTAGAGGGAAATGTAGAAAAAGAAATAGTTTAAGGGAAAATGTAAGGTCTGCCCACATTGGTTAGTGGAGTTTCAGTGATGACTAGAAACTTACAAAAATAACATTCACGACTGTTCTTGCACAATAATTTCATAGTGAGATCTGGAGCAGATTCTTCGTAACACCTGCTGTTCAACTGTATCTGTACCACCTATAGTCATGGGCGTAGCCAGAGTTTTGTTATGGGGGGGCCTAGTGGAGGCCAACCTGACACAAAATTGAATTATTTCAAATTATTGTTCATTATTGGGCACCGAGCAAGCCGTTCACCTTTTTTTTAGTATTCAAAACTTTTATTTTAGCTTTAGGTTTACAAATCGACTCAACACTTTTTCGGCTGTGATTTTCTGGGGGGGCACCAGGTTCCCTGGGAGGGGCCGTGCCCACCCAGGCTCCCCCCTCGCTACGCCCATGCCTATAGTGTATGTCCTATAGTAAAATTTTGTTTCTCTGAATTGTCAAAAGACATTTTTTTTTGATATGCAGTATCACAGAGCAAGACTAGGGTATTTTCACAACAGGCTGTCAACATGAATACATATATGATATGTTACACTGATGAGAGGGCTCTGTGTAAATCAGTGTTTTGTATGTGATCGAAAATTAAAGCAACTGCAGGACAATTAAACACGATAGTTTGCAAATATCACTTGCACAACTCAGCGAGGTTGACATTGTGACAAAGCCAAAATTTTGAAGTTTGATCTGTGGGGCAAAATATTTGAAATGAAAGGGCTCACCAGTGGGCAAGCGATTCCATTCCCCAAACACTGGGAGTTCGATCGTGGGTTTGTGCGTGGAGTTTTCTGGGTTTTCTTCACGTCTGTAATTCCCAAATAGGGGCCAGTTATCCTTAAAAACACCTCCCGGAAGGCATCCCCCTAGGCAGATCGCCCAAGTGTTGCGTTGCCATAACTTAATAAACAAACATCGAGGTCAAAGTTCGCCATGTAAAGTCTATGGGCAGATTGCCGTTTGTAAGCTGGATGCTCGCCACATGCCAATCGAGTTTTCGATTGCTGTCAATTTACATTGATCTCTACGACAATTTTTTTATTTTAGATGTGGATCAGTTTTAAACCTTTTTTTCGCCCAGTTTTAGTTTTCGATGCCGCAGAGCTCAGTTTCGTTTCCTAGAAAATACCTAGTAAATATATTTGAATAATTGGTCAGGAAAAGAACTGTAAAACGTACCTCCTTCCAAAATTTTGAAAATTTTATTGTTGTTATACAAATAATTGGATTCACAATCGTCTTAACAAATCTAAATTCCTACATCACACAACGTGTTTACTACAAACGCTATACAAACAAAGCAAGTGTTGCCAATCTTTCATTCATTTTTTCCTCTGTCGGAGGATTATAAATTATAATCAAATGCCTTTTCTTTTTAAATTAGGTCGACAGATGAAAATTGGACGAAATATAAACTGTTCTGTAAAAAAGGATATCATGTTTGTACTTAAAATAAAGGAAAGGAAATTCAAAGAAATCCATCTTTTATGACGAAAAGAACTGATTATTTTTCGTTAATTTTAACAGCAATTTACTTCTAAAATTTTTATATTTTTAATTATTATAAAACGGCAAAAATCTTAATTTTGGGTATTGGGACGGATTTTATAAAAAATTGTAAATGGTAACAACGTGTAAAATTCCCATTAATCTGACAATCTGACTCTACACGAGATGCACAAGATCCCCTTTATCTCCGCATCCCTTCGACCTTTTCGCATCAAAATTTAATATAATTAATTCCCTTAATGACATACTAACCTATATCACTATCACTAGGGACTCTTATGCCCGTGCACTTATAAAACGCAAAGCTGCTGAATTGGAGGACGAGAAATAATCCTATTAGCGTCCAAAGATTTCGGCGCAGGGTGGGCGGTCAGTCTGTGCCATTCGGGACCATCAAAATATCTCTTCTGACGGCGATCTTCTGCAGTAAGATACCGCGTCCGCTTGTATCTTACTGCATACCGAACCGAAACATATGAAGAACGCCCACGCATCTGTCATCGTTGCGGCACTTTTATTCGTCACCTAAATGTCCTAAATATTCAATGGAAAAGCGAATCTTACAATACCAACGGAGCAACAACTGCTCCATAAAAGTCGCCCGCAATAACCACAACAACCAAAGCACAGACTGTGTCCTATAGTGCGGAATTGCAGCACCAAGCAGATAGTCGTACCAACCATCCTGACCCTCTTGGAAGGACCACTGCTCGTACAGATGCTCATAATGATCTGTGGAAACAAACGGTAGCCATTAAAATGATGCTCTCCAGTGGAGTAGCGTTGGTGTCAGCCGCCCGGGGCGGAGGAAAATTTCGCCGCCCCCTTATTTAGGTATCTCAATTTAAAAGACTAAAATTCAGTTTCGTCACAGAATAAGTAATGAAAAATTCCGTGCTCATTTCAATCGGTCCGAATCGTAGGTGAGACAAAAATACGAAATGAAATAGTTCAAATTTTTACAAGATATTATTATTATTTATTGTGAAATTTTTCCGCTCCCTGAAAGTGCCGGCCGGGGCGGGCTGCACCTGCCGCCCCCACTACGCTACGCTACTGACGCTCTCCAGACAGAATCAAGTTCTGACAGAGATGATTGCCTTATTAGAGGGGACCACAAAGGGATCAAAAACTAGCGCAACTACTAATGAACCAACTAAGCAGACTTCAGGTTGGATACTCCCGAGGAATGCCGGTCAAGGGGGTTGTGACGGTCCAAGAGCTCAGCTGGAATCCCATAGCACTGAGACACTCATTTATTTTATGAAACTTACATTTCAAAATCTGTAATAATCGTGATTCATACTGTATATTTAATCAGATTATAAATATTATTTCTTAATCGTAATATCACTAAATTTACAATTAATTTATTTGAGAATTTCTCGTTAGAAATGAACATTCGTTTGCAATTTTAGTCTTTTAAAGTAGAGTAGAACCCCGGTTAACGAAGTCCTGGTTAACGACCAAATCGGTTAACGAACTTTTATTTTGGAAAATTTTTGTCTCAGATAACGAACAAAATTCGGATAACGAACTTAACGGCTTTTTGTGTCAAATTTGTAAGCTTGCCGACTTTTAGGGAAAATCAGTTAATCGTGTGTCGGTGATGGTCTAGGGTCCATTCGTACGTTGATATGGCGGAGGAGGCAAAGATGACAAGTATTTTACCGTGAAAATCGTTTATTAGAACGGGAAGATGCTTACATATTTGAAGTAGTTGGAAATGGCTTATCTACAGTATTTTCTCCCGACACTGAGGAGTGGCGTATCGCTGGTCCTACGATAGTGCAAGCTGATCAGTAGTAGCCCCAGAGCAGACGAAATGGGTTCGCTTGGTCACAGAAGCGATGGTAGGTGACAGAGCTGCAACAACTGGAGCGGTCCGCGACACACAACACAAATTTTAGCGGGCACGACTTCAGGCTTAANTCTTTATTTTAAATTTAAATTTTAATTGCAAGATTTTAATCGGTATTAATCTTTTCGAATAGTGATGATATATTTTGTAATTAGAACAGAAATACTCAATACTCCTAATCGATAAAATGTTTGTTTTATAAAATAAATTTGTATTTTGTGTAAAAAATAATTTATAGGCAATGCAAGAAATAAAATTGCAAGATATTTCAATTTTCAACAACTGAAACGGTTCTAGCTTATCTTTCTGATAAAATCACAATTTTAATTAATAAATCACCAAGAATAAGTTAAACGTTGTTCGTCGTTTTAGTAACGTTTTATTTCAGCATTTTTTCATTGAGCTAGAAATTTAATATCTTTGGCATTTCATCCTCGTTATATTACTCTATAAATTGATTGAGTAATTTATATTTATTATAAATAAATAAATAAGTATATATATACACTACCCTACAATAATGGACCGGACAGCAAGATGTGATGGCATAAGGTAAAGAATACAAGCATTAGTAGGAGAAGAGTACTTCACGAGCTACAGTTACACTAGCAACCCTTCTGAGCATACTTTCAACAAGGTTTTGATACACAGCTTTGGGCATTTGTGTCCATTTCTGCTTCAAGAATGTCGCCAGCTCAGCTCTAGATTTTAGACGTGGTTTCCTGGTCCGTAAGCGTCGCACTAACTCTTCCCAGAAATGTTCTATTGGGTTTAGGTCGGGACTCTGAACAGGTCAGGAAAGACGATTGACATCCGTATATTGATACCACTGTCTGACAGAGGCTGCAACATGACATGGAGCATTGTCGTCTTGGAAGTAACATTCGTCCATTCCATAAAGTTTCCAGAGCGTAGGAAGAACCCGTTTGTCCAAAATGTTCATATAGGCAAAGGCGTTCAATTTACCAGGAACAATATGCAAAATTTCCAGGCCATACCACAAAAAACACTCCCAAACAAGAACACACCACCACCGAACTTGACAAGTGTCCGGTCCATTATTGTAGGGTAGTGTATATGTTACCGCTAAAGCTCGAAATCCGTTAATGTGCACGTTACCTAGCTAATCTGCATATTAACTAGGATGATCCGTTAAAGTTGCTAAAATTGTTATATTTCTCAAATTACCTAGGTAATGTGCACAGTATCTAGGTAATCTGCACATTACCTACTAGACACATTGGTAAAGTGAAAATAAGATTTTTGCTGGAACAAAAGCAACGTTTCTGTACGCTTAAATTAACACAATGTTATTTATTTAATTTTCAATATCTAAAGAATCAAGTTAATACAATCAAACAATCAACAAATTAGTTGATTTAATCAATCATCAATCAATTAAAAAAAAACTTTAATACAAAAATCAAACGGTTTAAAATGTTATTACAATTAGGGAAATGAATTTGCAAAACATATGATAAAATTGTACTTACTTATTAGTGCAATCTAAAGATTGGTGACACTTTGAATTACAAAGCAATTGGTTTTTGCGACAAGCACGCCTATTTGTGGTACATTTAGATTTGCAGTCACATTTTCTGAAACCCTGCCCAGTACCAAGGGATTGTTTTATTGCTGTTTGATGTAAAGATATTTCTACAGCAGGGACATCCATTCTTTTCGTTAAAAATCTCTCTTTGCAAACACTGAATTCAGATTTTGCATAAGATTGTTTTAAAATACCTGTTTTAGTATCAAGTTTATAAAAGCCATCTACTATTTTACTAAGAACCACAGCTAAAATTTCGTGCATCAGTTTTTGCATCAATTTTCTAATTTTTCAAGGTCTTCTTCAGTTTTCATCGAATGTAATACACTTTGTGGTATAATAAAAGAAGACTGGAAGAGTGGAAAAATTAGAAGATTCACAAGAGACTGTGATTATGAGATCACAGTCAAATCTTACTCAAGAGGACATTCCGTTATCCCCTGCTTCTACAGAATCACCTATAGAAATAAAAAATTTTATCGATAATAATTTTAAACTGCCTTCTATACCGTTGATTGATGATGCAGTCACGAAGAATATTCAGTTACCCTGCACCTCCAAGGAATCACCTTTGCAAGTTGAAGAAGTCATCACTNTAGTGAAATAAATATTATTTAAGATTTAAAATTATAATATATAAACGACATGTCAATTAAATAAAAAACATTTTTAAAATTTAAAAGAGTATGTAAATCAGATTTCTACTTAAAAAACTTGTTCATTTTACCAAGTGTTATGTAACTTGTTTGTATTTGTAATTCTGTTTTCATTTTATTGTTTGTTATTCTTGTGATTTTATGGAAGCTTGTTTTTTCTAGGGAAGAGTCCAGATAGTTACTTGATGATACTGTCTATATCATCATCATCAGCTTATTCTACCATTTCACATTATGGTGTAGCGTCCCTTACATAATTATGTCATTTGTGCCCATGTTTGCCTATCATTTGCTTCTCTCCACCATGTTCTGCCTGCTTGTTTCCTTATGTCATAATCCCTTCTTAAGTATGGACGTTCTTTGAGTCTATTGATTCCCCGTGGATATCACATTGCGATTCTTGTGAACCATCTGTTGTCAGTCCTCCTTGCCAGATGTCCTGCCCATTGCCATTTGAGAGAATTAATTCTGTGGATTACATCAGTTACTTGAGTTCTTTGCCTAATACACTCTATTCTTTTGTGATCTCTCTTGGTTATTCCAAGCATGCATTGCTCCATTGACCTTTAGGCAATTTGGAGTTTTGCTGTTATTTCTTTCTTTAGTGTCAAAGTTTCACATCCGTAAGTCATAACTGGTAGTACGCATTGATTGAATGCTCTTTTCCTCAGGTGAATTGGCATTTTAGATTGGAAGATTTCAGAATTTCATCCTAATGTAGACCATGCTATAATATATA